GGGCCCTGGCCAGGGGTTTCAGTCCCCAGCTGGGTCTTCCCACCTCCCAGGTTCCTGCTGCAGCGTCTTCCTTTGTGCTCTGGCCATCACTGCAGCTGTGTTAAAAACCTGTTCCCTCTGCATGCTATATACGCTGGATCCTGTTGGCTGTCCTAGAGGGTCTGGACTGACACAGATCTCAGCTTTCCTTTTCAGAACACTGCGCCCTTCTCCCAGGTCACTAGTCCTGGTCAGCTTCTCGGCTGTTTCCCAGGGGAAGCTGATTATTTACAGGACAGGACCTTCCAAAACATGTCCTGGTGGACCAGAAGTGACCCACATCAGCACTCGCTGCCTTGTTTTCATGCTGGGTCATTTAACTGGGGGGCCGAAGACATAGACACAGAACTCAGAATTGCAATGCCTTCCAGTAAGTACCTAGAAGGGTGCCTGCCTCTTGAGGGGGGCACGGCCTGAGAATATCCCTGTCTTCCCGCCATGCTGTGAGTGAGTTCCACTGTTCCCTCAGTCTGGCAACAGACGGCCCTCAGTAAGAGTGTATTGGATAAATGCATTCCTGGGTCAACCCCACCTTCGCAGTTTTGCTCATTTAGTTAGTCTTTTGTTGAACTTGCATTGTTCACCAACTGTGTGCTAAGTACAGAAAGTACAGATACCAAGTAGATACACACTCAGCCTCAAAGAAATTTCATTCCAACAGGGGACGTGGAAATATACACAGATCATCATCTTGCAACGAGGTGAAGGCAGCAATGGAGACAAAACAGGCATTCAGGAGAGCCAGGGCACAGTGTGTGGGGTAGAGGAGGGGTCACGGAAGACCCTTCCTAGGAGGAGAGGGACTGAGAAGTCACCCTGAGGCCGAAAAGCCAGCGAGTAGGGCCCTGAGGTCGGCAGGAGATTGCACTCCGAGTCTGCAGGCCAACTTTCTGTGACTGTGCTGCTTCTTGAAGCACCAATTTCCCACCAAAGCGTCTCTCTTTGGCTTCTGGGAAATCACTTGAAATCACTCGGACAAGGGGGAAGAACAGACCTCCTGAAGTTGACCACCTGCGTCCCTTCCTTTCTCTCCCTTCTTTCTGCCTTTCTTTTCACTTGTCGGCAACGTTCGAGTGGGCTCAGGAAAGTGGAACTGCTTCTCCACCCAGAGCCCCACAGAGCCCAGGTTCCAATTACCGTAATGGATTCTAAAGCCTTCTCCTAATGGAAGCCATTTCACCACCAAAGGGTGGGCTGTGATCATCGCAGGTTCTTCCTAAGGCAAAGTGGGCCTTTAGTGCAAGTTTCAAATGCAGTCCTCAGATAGGACCCTTTTAAAGGGCCTTTAAAGTGCAGATGGCCTCCGGAATAGGTTTCAGGCTCCATGTAAAACAGAAGCCACTCAGAAACACGGAAGCCTGCCTGCATACATCCTCCTACCCACCACAAGGGTGCAGAGCCAGTGCATAAGCCTGAAGGGTTGCCTGTGTCTTTATACTCTGATGATTGGAAGGGCAGGAGCTCAGGTGAGTCCCTTCTGAATCTGGGTTCTTGGGTAACAAGCCCACAGAGAAGATAAAACCAAATGGGACCTGGATTTCTCATTTGGTCCAAACTCTTGATTCAATTCAGGAAGCTGCAGCTGGGGGAAGTTAAAAGAGGTTCCTGTGAGTGGCAAAACGAAGACCCAGTGCCTTGCCTCACAGCCAGTGTTTTCGCCACTACCTTGCATTCAGTGGCTTCAGAGAGAACTTTTAGTATAATTTACCAACACTTAAAATCACCTATGTGCCAAGCATCATACTGGGTGTTGTGGGGCTTCACCAGCAAGGGGTGTAGGGCCTTGGCTGTATGTGTATTACTACAGTTTCGGGGGACGTGGTTCCCGTGCATTACATTCGCACACAGTGCTGAGTGGCATATCGCTAATAGAGACGTACAGGTAGCTATACACTCCAAAATGTTCCTTTGAAAAAGAAAATTGGAGCCAGGGCAAACATGTCATGCTGAGTGATGGGTACAGAAGTAGTAGGGACTTCCTGGTAAACACTGTCTCTGGAAATATACCAGAATCAATCACTTTTAATATTATTATTCCAGCTATACCTTTGACAATTGTTCCTAAATTTTGTTTCTAAAGAAAACAAGAGATTTGAGTTGCTTTTTCTCCTTCTTTCTCATTTTCCTAGAATGGGCAGTGCTGCTTAAAGTGGTGAATACACACACACACACACACACTCACACACACACATATACATACATACACACATGTGCACACACATGCACACACACATACGTACATGCACACACATACACACATACACATATACACACATCCATACACAAACACACATACACACACATATACACACACACACACATATTTAGAATTTTTCTTTTCAACATAGAGAATTCGGCACTATAAACTCTCCTTCAGTTAGATTATATACAAGTGTTGACTTTCAATTCATACCTCTGATATGAGTCACTGAGTGCTCCAATTCTTAATTTATTTGTGCTGTTTTCAGTAAAATGCATTGAATGTGGAGTTATCCAACTGTGGTGTGGTGCCTTGCTGCCTCTGATACAGGACTGATGAAATCTGAGTGCTTGGCACTATCTTACAGGAATGGAAAAATCAGATTTGGCCTGTAGCCAGCTTTCTACCTTCTCTGGAACATGGACAGAACATCTGGGAAAACACTCAACTCGCTACCCACAGCCCCAGACATTCCCATATCACCTCATCTCTCAGAACCTGCCTCCACACTGTGAACTGGCCTCCTGTACCGCTTACGTAGCTGACCATGGTCGCAAGCTTGCTTTAACATCTTGTCTTTGTCTTAGAGGTGTTATACAGAATCATGGCTCAATTTTTCAGAGCTCACAACAAAATCACGTTATCTATTTCTAAATCAAAGTTCAGATTTACAGAATTCCCTAGTTACTGTATCTTCTGCTTCTCTTTTGGAGAAATTGTCTTTCAAGATCTCCAGAGCTGAGAGTTTTAAGCCCCTCCGGGAGAGGCTTCAGGGGTTCTCTGAATCCTCATTCACACTCTGTATAAATTTCTCCATGTTTACAATCCTTTGTCTATATTTCTGGAGAGAAGGTTCACATGTTTATCAGATACTCAGTGACCTAAGGCCTCACATGGGTTAAAAAATCTGTTTCAGTGAGATTTCCCATGATTTTGAAAGTAGAAAATAGCTGAGATAGTGCTTAATTGAAACTCTCATTTGACATATAGGGAAACTGAAGCCCATAGAGATGCAATTTTTTTTTTCCCTCAGGTCAATGCAACAAGATAGTGACAACACAGTGTGGGAGTCCAGACGCAGAAATTTGATTTGTTTAAACTTGTAAATATATTCCATTGTTCCTTAGCTCACCTAAGACTGACTTCTGGGAAGCCTGGTAATCTGTGCACAGGGAGTAAGGATGTTAAATGTCTTTTGGAAGAACTGTTTTTCTCCTTTGCTTTTTTGATAATTTACTCTGGCAGCTGGTAGGTGTTTTATCCCCAGACTTGTAAAGAAAATCTGTTGACGCTGTTAAAGTCTTTGCCCATGCAAATACCCAGTGCTGATCTTCTTGGCCATCAGGGACCGTCGCATGGGGGGCATTGCTCCATTGTGCCTGTGTGCACGCTTCCAGGCACGTGTGGAAGTGTGCGCTTGCTAATGTAATTGCAAAGCAAGCTGCAAATGCCCATAATAGGGAATCAAGAGAAAAGTCTTAAGTTAGACTTTTGTTTAGCACTTGGCTTCCTAGAGGTTTGTAAAGAAGGTGTCTGTTTAGGGAAAGCCTTATTAAGCCTGGATGGTTGCCCTTAGCAAATCAAAGTGTTGACTAAACCTTGGTCTCTGTTGTGAAATGTAAGTCTAGTGAAATTCAAATACATTGTAAATGTACTAATCAGCTGTAATCAAAGAAGAGGGGCATAAACACTCCCAGAGGGTGGCACCCCATGAGAACAACTGATGGGGTGACTTGGGAGGCCCTGGGTGACTCTCTGGAGAGTTAAGGACGTCCATGGCCATCCCTGCTCCAGCATCAGCCTGTGTTTGTATGAAAGTACAGGCTCCAAAACAGCCTGGAAGACAGCTCAGAGAACACCCGGAGTGAAACTTGTATTTTACCAAAAAACGAAACCAAGGTCCCTAGAGAAATGGCTTTGCTCAGGCTTCACTCTGTGGGTCAATGGCAGATCAGAGACGAGGGCCCCACACCCCGGTGTCTAGCCAGGGATATGGCCCTGGCACTGTGTTGCTCAGTTATGTTGGGCTGCCTGGGGGATATCACAGAAAAAGCCCCTGGAGGACACATGTGTTCATCATCTGCTCAAAACTGCACAGCAGGTGGATGGTGACATTGACACCATCACAAAAATAACAGATGCATGGAGGGCAATGTGCTAAGCACTTAATGGGAATTATCTTAGTAAGTCTTCACAACACTATGATGAAGTAGGTAGCATTATTGTAATAGTCATTTTACAGATGAGGACACGGAGGTTCTGGGAGGTTAAGAAACTTGCTCAAGTGTAATTAGTACGTGGCCCAGCTGGAATTCCAAAGCAAGGATTTGTAAAGATTATGCTACACAAAACTCCCACTGCACCTGTTTATTTGTTTTTGTTTTTCCTATAGAGCATACCTACCTTTTCTTGTCTCAGGGAGTGTGATGTGTGAAGGACTTTGGTTCTCATTGGCCAGAGACGCCAAATCCATCTCAGTCTGAAGTCCTAGGGTCTGAGCTTCCCTAGGTGTGTGGAGTCCCTGCTAGGCAGGACGCAGTTTGACTGACATGTTTCTTTTCCTTCATTTTCTCCTATTTAGCCACCTGCTTTTCCTGATATCCTCTTTTAAGAGGGTGTTAGGGCCCTGGGCCAGAGGCCTTTTACAGCAACCCCAAAATTGCCTTGCAGCAATCTGACAATTATTTTTTTACAATAATTTGCATCTTATTTCTAAATACAGTAACAATTTGGGGTCTTTTGTCTTCTTTTCCTGTTTCAGCTCACCATCACTCAGTTTGGATTTTGTTGTGTGAAGTTCCCTGACTCCTGGCCTACTTCTATCCACCGTTCATTCATGGGACAAACAGTAACTGTACACCTACCTCCTAGAGCCTCCTATGACAAAGGCACCCTATGGCTCAGAGTAAGTTGTCTTTCCTTTTTTTTTTTTTTGACTGTTAACAACACAAATCAAGCGCCAGTAACTATCTTGGTTGAGACACAGCTTTCCATATGCTTGTCGATAACTTGCTGGTGTGTGACTTTAGTACTCACCATGTCCCTACCTTGCCCGCCCATCCTGCCCTCGAGGGGACACATGGATCCTCTCTGGAAAGATCCGGGGTTGGCAGAAAAGGAAGATTCCCTTCTTGACTTGTGGTATGGCCTCTATGCCAGGCCCCGTGCTGGGCCCTGGGGATGGAGTAGGGAGCAAGGCTCAGCCCTGGCCTCTGGACAGCCTGGACTGGCTCTCTGCATTTCACATTTGATTTTTAACAACGGCAGGAGGGGATGAACCATGGAGAGGAACAGAAACCAGAGATCTGGGCTTGCAGGACCCTCCCTGTTAACCTCGACACGGCCCCCTGTGTCCTTTTGGTTTCCTGTCCCTCACCACAAGAAGCAGTGTTCAAATTGGTTTCTAGCTGGTTCTGAAGTAGCCGTGTTTGGGTGGGTCTGGTGCATGCTGGCTCAGCTGGGAACATGCTGGTGTTTGGAGGTTGTTGTGCAAGCCTGAGGCCCCACTCCCTGCACAAGGTCAGGGTGTCCTGGTGGGCCTCGTTCTGCTTTGCGATGGCAGTGGCCCTCCAAGACGGTCAAGCCTAACCATGTAAATTACCATATACATGACCATGGTGAGTATGAATGACTCAATGAATAATTTCATTTATTTATTTAACACCTTTTGGGTGGCACCGTGCTACGCATTGAGGGTCTAGGGTGTGTAAGGCACTAGTACAACCTTTGAGATATTTTTGAGTGGTGGTGCAAAGAATGTGGTACAAAAAGATGAATGAGGCTGGATGCGGTGGCTCATGCCTGTAATCACAGGGCTTTGGGAGGCCAAGTGGGGAGGATCGCTTGAGGCCAGGAGTTTGAGACCAGCCTGGTCAACATAGCAAGACTCCATTTCTACATGAAAAATAAACAACAACCACCCATGAACAAGAATCAAGGAGTGCAGGGAAGGAAGTGGATGGCTCTGAACACACTGTGATGCTGGTGCGCCGAGGGGTCTCCTCTCACTGGGATTTCTTTGTTCCCTTTGATATTCCTCCCATTGTCTGCTCTTCCCTAGGTAAGGGGTGTGAGAGCAAAAAGACAAGCAGTCCTATTTCGGCTGCAGTGAGCACTGGGATGCTCTGCCCAGGCCTCCCTCTTGCTACAGGGACAGCTGATGTTGGTCATGGCAGAGCGTGCACTGGACACCCTGTCCTGCTGCAGGGAATGGCCTCATTTCAGGTCATGTCCCCCAGGCTCTGAAACTGAGGAAGAAATACAAAGGCTCAGCCCTCTTACTTCGACTTGGGACAACTCTGATGGGCCATCCCAGCCTGAGAGTGCTGCTTAGGATTGGCTGGGGGTGGCTCCGATTATAACCTTATCGCAGTCAGCTTCACTTTCTGCAGGATCCTGCCTTTCTCACTTCCTTACTGGAGAATCTCCCAAGAACACCCCCGATCAACCCTCGGCATGCAAGTTTTCATCTCAGACTGTTTCCAGGAAGCCTCTTAGGCAGCTGATACTGGACATGGTTGTGAGTTGTAGACCCTAATGAAAAATTGGAGAGGAAGCAGGTGTCCGACTGATGGAATGATAAGCAGAAGGCCTGTGGGCTTGAGTGGCTGAGGCTGAGGCTACTGAGTGTTGAAGAGAGAGCGGTAGAGGTGCAGGATGACTCACCACTGGTTTCAGACAAACTGTGAAAGCCAGAGCACTTCCTTGGCAGCATTTGAGAAAACCCTGATGAGCTGCAGCTGAAAGGCAGGTCGGCTGGAGGACCAGTCTGAAGCCTGAGCAGGTTAAGTTCTCAGTTCTTCAGGGACAGGGGTAATGGGAAAGAGGTGAGACCTGACACTTAGGGTGGGAGCCCTGGACAGTTGGGAACCCTGAACACTTATATGCCCCAGAGTCCCTAGGCCTGCAGAAACAGCCTGCTTCTCATGCCATGTAGAAGACTGTAGACGCTCCTTTTCTGAAGATCATGCAGAGGTCTCAAATGAGGTAGGTCTCAAATTTGACAGGTCAAATTGCTTGACCTGTCAGGATCTACCCTCAACTTTCCTTTTGGCAAAACCAGATGAATAAAAAGAACCAAATCCCAGCACAACCCGATTGTGGATGAGCTGGGCTGGCTTGGGCAAAAGGAGATATCAGGTGAAGGAGCTGTGGGGTTGAGCTAATATTTCCCAGAGGACCTGGGAACATATTCATGGGATTAGATCAAAGAGTGTAGATATAAAATCGAATAAGGTTGAGTTTATCGAGAGGGAGCACTCTAGGTGGTAAAGGAGTAAGCATCTTGGTCAAGATTCCTGGAGAAAATGCTGAGACTCAACTCAGATGATGCTTAAAAGCCTAGAGAAAGCAGTAACCCACACTAAAGCAGATGGTGGCGGGAAGGACCAAATGGCTTAGAGAAGCAGGTATGCTGGAGTAGACATGCTAGCACCCACAGTGCTGACTATCTTCCCGAGATGGCCTGGAGGACTTCCCATGTACAAAGGAATGCACTGGTGAGAGTGGCCCCGAAGTCACCGAGCTCAGGAATGGCTGTGCTCTATATGCCAGAGACCATGCATGACAGGTGATGAAATCACAGAACTGACTCCTGGTAGCAACGGGAAAGACAGGATTCTGGGATGAGAAAGGCCAGGTGTTGTACTCACCATTGGATACCAGGCAGAGGCCATGATCACAACGAGAGGCGAGATCAGTGGGGCACCCAGGGGTCCATGCCCTGCAGAGAGCTCCTAATAGGCTCATTGCTTTAGAAGGGAGATAGATAGGCACTCAAGGCCATGCTTAATTTCTACGAGAAAGCAAGTGTGGATTACCAAGAGGCACAATAGTCAGGATCTCTTGCCTAGTTTCTTGAATTGAGCTAATTCTCAGCCCCAGAATCTGTTGACTGAAGGAGAAAGCAGAGCACCTCACAGGAAGATGGTACCACATTACAGCAGGTGAATTCAGCAGTAATTCACCAAGTTCTTTCCTAAAGGTATCTAGGACATTTATTCAGGCAAATGCACCCTGGGGAAAGAGGAATGCTTTAGCTTCTCAAGGACTATTAAACTATCATTGATATTTGGAGACCCAGGATGCTACCATAGCCCTCTATTAGACCGGAGACCAGGAAGGCAAGGTAATAAATGGAATCTTGGTTCAAACCTAGCTCACTTTCCTCATTTCCCTGGTCCTCTGGTATAATAGGAGTGAATATACTTGGTCATTGGAAGAACCTGTGCATTCGCTTCTGGACTTAGAATAAAAGATGTTGTAGTGGGTTAGGCCTCCTCCCCTATGAGATCGCAAACCACAGACATGACCACATCTTGTGTTGATGGCAGGAATGTCAGAGATGAGTGTTACCCTCAAAGACTTAAAGGATGCAGGGACTGTGGTCCTTGCCATAGCTCATTTAATTCACGAGGCTGCTCCAGACACAGACCTGGAGGGCCATGGTGGGGGACAGTGAACATCCATACAGTGAGTCAAGTCATAGCCCCACCTGCAGTGGCTGTGCCAAACGTGGAACTTTTGCTAGAGAAGATTAAATGGAGCCTATGGCCTCTCTGAGGAAGCTGTTGACTTGGTGAACTGTGTTATTTGTCACCCTGGAACAAAGGAGGATCAGAAGCAGTTCACACTGACTTGGAACAAAGGATACTCTCATGGTCCCACTCAAGGTCCATGTTAATTCTCTCACTTTTGTTGCTTAAAAAAATTTATGGTTTTTGTTGCATATTTGTTTCTAAAACAGACTCCTCATATAATAAACAAAATCATAACATTTTGATAATGGTAGAGATTGAATCATGTATTATAGTTTGTTGATTTTATATTTTTGAATGCATCTTTAGTTTTTAAATAAGGCAAATTTCGGATGTCTCTGAGGACCTTAGAATTATCCAGTTGTTTTTTAAGCATGCTAACTTTTGTTGTTTTTCAGTCTGAAGTCACCTGCCCTGTCTGGACATTCCATAGACTACCATGTTTTGCCACAACTTCGATGTGCATGCTCGTTGGACCAGATAAGAAAGCAGTGGAAAGTGGGTTGGAGGTCTTGGTAAGCCACATGCACATCAAGGCTGGGAGATCAGCCCTGTGAAGACTTAGAGGCTTTCCAATTGGTGGAGTGTTTAGGGGCTTAACAGGAGAGTCCCTCCAAAGTAGAGTGATTGCATTTCATACATCCTCCCATAAAGAAGCAGCCTGGTGCTGAGGGGCCTGTTTAGCTTTTGGAGGAAGCATAGTCAGCCCTTGCGAACACTGCTTGAACCCATTTTCTGGGTTATGTGGAAGGCTGTCATCTTTGATTGAGACCCAGAAAGGAAGGCATTCTCCATAGGTCCAGGTGATGGTGCAAGTAACCCTGCCATTTGTGCCATATGACCTGGACAACTCTATGGTACTCTGTGGCATTTATGCTGTAGTGTGGCAGACCTTGACGGCACTACACGCACGTACGATACATCATGGAGGTATGGAAAGGATATCGTGTCGAGCTCATGGCAAATCCTGGGAGAATCACTGCACTCCTGGCATTCTGGAGAAAGGCCATGCCATCACCCCCAGAGAAGAAGAATAAATCATTTGAGAAGTAGCCCCTGGCATGCTTCTCCGCCTGATAGAGATGAAGCATGTCACCATTGGGGGTTGAGTAACCGCATGGCTGGGTTAGGTTCTGTCAGCCTCAATTGTAAAATCGGGTGGGCCCAACAGAAGGGGAAGTAGGATATCTAGGACTGAACACGACTGGGGCCAGAGAGAACAAGGAAGTTGCACAAATGGTTTGCTTGGCCCTCAGGTCATCTACCACTCTTGTTCTGGTCTTTCTCCATCTGCTCACACTGATGGCTTTCTCTCAGGCCAGGATGGCTTGATTCATTGGTACATGTGCATTTAACATGGATTACAGGCAACACCACTCAGGGATGGCCTTGGGAGACAGCAGTGAGGGGAAATTTTATGGGGCACATCCACCTGGGGAGATTCTCTGGTCATCCACTTTGTAGGGAAAGTGAGGTGGCCTGAGGTAAGCATATGTGCCCTGTGACATTTATGGCAAGGCTCATGGGCAGTAGGATGTTAGAAAAAGAGGAAGATTGGAACACGGGAGACTAGGATATCTGGGGAAGGGGGCTGCGGGTGGACCTATCAGGGTGAGTGCAGAGTATGAAGATCTGAGTATCACATGGTGATCCCCAGCAAAGAGCACTCACTGTGGAAGGGGCAGAAACAACCAAATAGGCCAGGCAACTCACCCGGTGGACATCAGTGAGCCTGTCATTGCCTCACCCAGTGCAGGGACAGCGGATACACTAGTTGCAGAAATGACATTGTGCAAGAGGCCATCAGCACCGGATCCCACTCTCCATGGCTCTTCTACATGCTGCTGCTGCCGAATGTCTAATCTGTTAGCAGCAGAGACAAGCAACACCAAGCCCCCAATTAGTGTTTTAAAAAGACTAATCAACCATTTGGTAGCAAGTTGACTGTGGATATTTATTCCCATGCAGGGAATAGAGACTCCTCTAGGCTTGGATCATGAGATAGTCTTGGCATAAATTTGCCTTTCCTGCCTGCAGGGCCTAAACCAGCATCACCATCCAGCAACACGGGATTCCACCTTACAGTGCTTTAGGTCAAGAAACTCGTTTTATCACAATGGAAATTCAACAGTAGGCACATGACAATGGGTTCCACTCTTCCCATCACATATGACCTCACTGAGAAGCTGCCAGCTTGACAGGGAAGTGGATGAGCCTTTTATAAATAGTTAAGGGCCTTGTTTAGAGATAGTGCCCTATGAGGATGGGCCTTTGTCTTCTAGGATGGTGCACATACTACATCAATGCTGCTGTGTCCCAAGTAGGTTGGAGCCAAAGGAAAGAATAGTGGTAGGAGCAGCCTTACTTACTATCACCCCCAGTGACCTACTTAGGGAATGTGTGCTTTCTTTCTCTGCCATATGAGGTTCTGTGGGTGTAGAGGTCCTGGCTTGCAGAGCAAGAATGCCTCTGCAGGAGGACACAGCAAAAGTCCCAGTGAACTTTAATTTACACCAGCCATCTGGTCACTTAGAGCCTCCCAAGACAAGGATCAGCCAAAAAGGAAGGGAGACATCACCCTGGCAGGCACAGTTGACCAGGGGAAGCGGGGCTGCAGATGTACAGCAGGCAGAGAAGAATGCACTTGTTGCTTGGAGGTTGCAATGGGGTGTCTCTTGGTGCTCCCAGGCTCAGTTTTAACTACAAGTGGCCAAGTGCAGACGGCATATCTTGCAAAGGGGGTGATAGCTAGGGGTGCAGCCCCTTCAGAGATGACAGTCTGAACTGCCCTACCAGGCAATCTACCTAGACAAACAGGTGCAAATTGAGGATGGGGGGAATCTCAAACCAGTGGTGGAGGAGAATGATGAATATCAGTTATAGTCTTGAGGTTAACTGCAGCAGTGGGGGTCGAAATTTACTCTACTAATCTTCCCTTGTAAATTTCGTAGGTAAACAATCCGACCAAAATCCTGGGACAGCTATTCCCCGATGGGGCACACTTACTAGAAGAAGCAAGTGAATTTAAAGGGGGGTGAACTATAGGGGAGTTCACCACCAAATCTGTGGTTCTTTCCCCAGATCTTTCTTCAGGGCCAACACATCCATCACTCAGCTGTGACAGGCAGGAGTTGGGAGTGGCTCACCTTTCTCACTGGGAATTGCCCCCAACAATAGGGAACTGCCTCATTCAGGGTTAAGGCATCTCCTCGAAGAATGCCCATGTTTAATTACTGGCTGACACAAGAATATGAAGGACCAGCCCTTGTCTCAGCTTGGAACAAATCTGAAGGCCCATCACAGCTTCAGAGATCCTTGGAGAAGGCTGAGATCTCCATTGCAATCTTATGGAGAGTGTCTTCTCTCTCTGCCCTACTCTGCCTTCCTTCCTGGCAGAGGTTTCTTTGAGAACACTTCTTGTATTAGTCTGTTCTCATGCTGCTATCAAAGACATACCCTAGATTGGGTAATTTATAAAGGAAAGAGGTTTAATGGACTCACAGTTCCACATGGCTGGGGAGGCCTCACCATCATGGCAGAAGGCTAATGAGGAGTAAAGTCATGTCTTATATGGTGGCAGGCAAGACAGAGTGTGTACGGGGAACTCCCTTTTATAAAATCACCAGATCTTTTGAGATGTATTTACTCTCACAAGAATAGCATGAAAAAGACTCACCCCATGATTCAGTTACCTCTCATTAAATTCCTCCCATGACATGTGGGGATTGTGGGAGCTGTAATTAAAGATAAGATTTGGGTGGGGACACAGCTAAACCATGTAACTTCTCAATAACCTTTTTCATGCAATTTCAGGCTATTTCCTATAAGTTGGGTTTTAGAATATCCTAGGCCTTTAGGATGCTATCTATACTTTATGGAATATGTCAGGTTCTAGAAAAAACGATCTTGAGCAAGAGTAATAATGACTCCTCACTAAACAAAAACAAAATAAAACAAAACAAAAAATGAAACTTAGGACAAAAGTTTCTCCGTCAATTTTCCTTTATTATTATGCTGTGGCTGTGACTCTCTTTATCCCTAAGGATGTTTTGTTTTAAAATTTATTTTTGTCTGATATTCATAGAGCTAATTTGATTTTATTGGTAGTAATATTTGCTGGAAAGTCCAAAAAACTTCAATCTATGCGGTTTTTTTTTTTTTTTTTTTATTGAGTTGGAGTTTCACTCATGTTTCCCAGGCTGGAGAGCAATGGGGCGATCTCGGGTCACCGCAACCTCCGCCTCCTGGGTTCAGGCAATTCTACTGCCTCCTCAGCCTCCTGAGTAGCTGGGATTACAGGCACGCGCCACCATGCCCAGCTAATTTTTTGTATTTTTAGTAGAGACGGGGTTTCACCATGTCGATCAGGGAGTTTTGTTTTAGTTAATACAAGTTTGCATTGATTTAGGTAGAAAGTGTATTTTTCACTGTAAATTCTCAAAGACTTCCCTGCTCTCAGTCCAGTCTTCTCAGCACCAAGGGTGGTCCCTGTGTGTTTGTGGGTGTGAGGTTTGCTTCCCCTATACCCTTACAATGTAGATATAATCTTTCGGGATTCCAGATTTATGGAAGGGGTCTCTCCTATTGGACTCTCCACTTTTTAAAGGGACCTAGGCTTTTTCGTAAAGGCTGTGAAAATTAAAGATCACCAGATTTGCTTTCAGGGCAAAACTTATTTCATTCTCTTTTTATTTCTCATTACCAACTTTCCCTTAGATTTTGACCTGATAATTCCTTATTATGTAATAAAGGAATTATCACATAATAATTCCTTTTATTATGTTTTTGAGAATTTTAAAACATTTTAATCCAGAATTTTTAGTGTTTGATCAAAATACTCACCCTTGTGTGTTACTGGAAACAGAATTCCTAGAGGTAATTTTTTAAACAAAGAAAACTTTGATAATGGTGAAATTTTAGCATCTACTCACTCTGCACATGCAGGGAACTGGTTTAACTGGTATGATGCAAATACACACTTTGAAATTGGCATGATGGACTATAGGATCCTGAGACTCTATCATGTTCATTTTAATTCACTTTATGAGAGAGAGAGTGAGAGAGACTGTTTCACATTTATTGGATGGTGTTTCCGAGCAATTTCAACAATTGATTTGCATTATACAGTCGAGACAATAAAATTGAAAATAAATTACAGCCACTTAAACAACTGTTCTGTGGAACAGATACGTAAAATTTGAGTATTTATGATAGTAAATCAGATTAAGTTGCTGAATACTTTTTTTCTAATCTTTCATCAATGGTGCAAAGCTCTCAGGAGTAAGTTTATCAAGTTTTGTATTTTATTTTGATTAAATATAAATAAACTAATCACATTTTTATGGTAACAAAATAGTTCATTAAATGAGTAACAGCAGATTATTCCTTTGGAAACATACAGATGTAGATTTGCTAAGAAATGATAATAGATTTTATATAGCTGATGAGAAAGCTTTGTGTTGACCTTTAAAAACCATTACACTGAAAACTAAGTTTAATGTTTTGAACTTGTTCCAGAGAACCTTGAGTTTGCTGTACTCGTTAATTCTTTGGGACTGTCTTACTGATGTTCAAGTTTGAGAAACAGGTTTTGCCTTTAAGATTTGTTTTCCCCAAAATACAAGGTATGGCATTTGGGAGAATATGTAAGTTTTTTTACTAGGGAATATAAGAGAAAACGCATGATTTCTTTTAATCTGCTTTTACCTTGGACTATTGATGCTTCAATTTCAAAGTGAATTCTGCACTCAAGAAACATACAATTGAAGAATGGGACTGGTGGGAAGGTGAGGCAATGGAAACTCTGCAGTTAAGTGACTTGTCCTTGGTCTTCTACCTGATAAATGGTGGGACACTCTGCTCTGCCAAATGACACCTTCACTTCTTGGATCCCCTCCAACCTCCTAAACCCCTTCACTTTCTTTCACCTCCAACTCAATTGATTACCTAAATTCCCACGTCCCTAAGCAGACAGAGAAGCACCCAGGTGATGACTTCATCTTTTCACCCATATCTTCCTATATACATTCCATACTTGAGGTCAACTGGAGCAGTAGAGGTTGAAATTTATTCTTCTAATCTCTTGTGAATTTCCCAGGTAACCAGTCCAACCAATATCCTGGCAGAGCTGTTCCCTGAGGGGGCACACTTATTAGAGGAAGCATGTGAATGTAAAGGAGGGTGAACTGTAGAGGAGACTGTGATGCTCTCCCCAGATCTTTCTTCAGGGTCAACACATCCACTGTTGAGCTGTGGCAGACAGGAGCTTGGGGGGGCGCTCACCTCTCTCCCTGGGAATTGCCCTCAGCTGTAGGGACTGCCTCACTCAAGGTTCAGTCACCTTCCAGAGGTTGGCTCATGTTCAATTCCTCGTGGATACAGGAATACAAAGGACCTGTCCTTGTCTTAGCATGGGACAAATCTGAATGCCCATCACAGCTTCAGAGACGAAGGGTAGGAGCTGCCTCCGCTGCCACCTTTCCTCCTGTAGCTTCTCTCCATGGCCAGAGACTTGGAGGCTGCCCCGCACTCCATTCCCCCAGCACTTCTTGCCTTTGCCTCTGTGTGAAGACCTGTTCTTCAGTTTCTACTGAGCGTTCCCATCAGCATTCAGACCCCTCTAAAGTAACCCGGGACCCTTGTTTGACCTCCCATGCCTCTCAAGCTCCTTACAGGAGACATCTACTAAGATGTCTCACTCTCTAATCCTCCAATCAATGCATGTTGGAAGCCTTTACTTCATGAAGTTGGTCTGTCCAGGTTACCTCTACCTTAACAAATCCTGTGCAAAGTTCTTTCAGCCAAGTCTGGCACAGAGCTCCGCTCCTTTCTTTTAGAAATAATTTCCTTGATGGACTTGTGGGACACAAACGATCTCATGGCTGCTGTTGTCATTGGCTTCCCTGGCCACTTTCTCTTGTAGTGACTCCCTGCATTAATGTCCTGTTCTGCTGTGAAAAATCACCACAAACTTAATGGCTTAAAACAATGTGAGTTTTATCTTTCACACTTTTGTAGGTTAGAAGTTCAACAAGGATCTTTCTGGGCTAACACCAAGGGGATGGCAGGGCTGTGTTCCTACTGATGGTTCTAAGGGAGAGTTTCTTTCTTTGCTTTTACCAGATTCTAGAGGCCACCTGAAGTCCTTGGCTTATGACCTCTTCCTCCATCTTCAAAGCTAAGGGCCTCCTCTCCTCTTTGGCCTCTGCTTCTGTCTTTCATCTTCTTTCCCTGCTTTGCAGTCTCCTGCCTCCTCTTCTATGGACCATTGTCATCAGGCACCCACGCAGGTGATTCAGGATAATCCTTCCCATTACAGCATCCTGAACTCATCTGCAAGGCCTCTTTTCCCAAGTAATAGAACAACTTGCAGGTGCTGGGGATGAGGAACACATCTTGGAGGGGCCATTACTCAGCAGACCACACTCCCTCTCCTGATATTCACCTCTTAATTTTGGAGCACTCCAAATTTGGTTCTCAGCTTACTTCTCTTCACTATCCACACTCTCTGAGGGGAAGAGCTCACCGAGGACTGTGGCTGTAAATGCGTTCTTTGAGCTGGGGAATTTTCAAATTATATCTCCACTCCGGACCTTGCCTCTGAGTTCCAGGTTTCTGTTTGTATCCACCTGTGTGCACTGTCTACCCAGCAATTTATGTGGATGTTTAATAATGATCTTGAACTCAAAATATCTACAAAAGCCTCTGAATTTCTGTCCTAAACCTGTTCTTCTGCACCCTTCCTCTAGCTGTTAATGGCTCCACCAGCCACCTTGCTACCTGGAGAAAAATCTCAGGGATCTTCTGGATTATTCTGATTTACTTTATCCACCTGCTGCATCTAATCTGTGAGCAAAGTGTCTCAGCTGCCATCCCTGATTCCATGCTTCCTCTACCTTCTGCCTGGGCTTGGGAAGCAGCCACTTGACTGCCCTCTTTGCTTCTGCTCTTCCCGTCTGAGGTCTACCTTTCACCAAAGAGTGAGTTTTATATATATATATATATATATATATATATGAGTGTGTGTGTGTGTGTGTGTGTGTGTGTGTGTGTGTGTGTGTGTGTATGGAAGCTTGCTTTGTTGCCCACGCTGGAGTGCAGTGGTGCCGTCTCGGCTCACTGAAACTTTTGCCTCCTAGATTCAAGCAATTCTTCTGTCTCAGCCTTCCGAGTAGCTGGGAATACAGACATCCGCCACCATGCCCCGCTAATTTTTATGTTTTTAGTAAAGATGGGATTTCATCATGTTGGCCAAACTAGTCTCAACCTCCTGGCCTCAAGTGATCTGCCCACATCAGCCTCCCAAAGTACTGGGATTACAGGCTTGAGCCACTCTGCCTGGCTCCAAGAGTGATTTTATAGGAACCACTTTTATTAGCAAGCATTTCAAACCTTCCAAAAAATACAGAAAGCAACAAAGTGAGCATCCAGGTATTTATCACCTAGATTTGATGTTGTAAATGTTTTATTTGATATCATTATAAGCAAAGAAATGATCACATGTTTGTGAAGTCTTCCATTTATTCCTCCTTAATCCTGTCCCTGGCTCTCACGAAGGATAGATGATATCATGTGATATGTTTTTAGACTTTACATAAATGTTTTGTATTTGATGTTTCTGGCACTTAATTTTCTTTTAGAATTATATCTGAAGTGTATACGTGTTGATATACATAGATTGGCTTCATTCACTTTAATAACTGTATAGGTATATCATCATATAAACGTAGGACAACATAGTTGTTTTCTTGTTGTTAGGCATTTACTGGTAAAATTCACTGCACATCACTGTAGTAAACATCCATGTACCTAAATCTTCGTGCACAAGTATGAGAAACAGTAGAATCATTTGAAATTTTAATGTAGCTAAGTTTATCAATCTTTTTCTAAAATGTTGGTGCTTTCGTAACTTGTTTAGGAAAGCTCTTCCCAACTCTATGAAGGCATTCAATTAAATCTAAAATTTTACTTTCTAAATTGAGGTCTAATCATTCTGGAATGTGTCTGTGAGTGTGTGTGTTAGATATAGTTAGCCAATTGTTCATCGCAATTTAATGAATATTCTAGTTTTTACCTACTGAATTTTAAGGCGCGTTTATAGAGTACCATGTTTTTAAAAGACATGGTACAGCAGAGGTCATGGAGGCATACAGCCTGGCTCCAAAATCTGGCTGCATGACTTAGGAGGAGGTAGGT